ACATTGTAATTTGATAAAAAACGGTTTTGAAATTAAGAAAAAAGCGGATAAAACGGTTTTATTTTACATAGTTTTTATATAGTGAAAATTATTATGTTGGTATGAACTTCAAACTGCTATAAAACTATTAGAAGTAAAGACAGCTTTTATTTATAAAATAGCAAAGCAAAATAAGTTCAATATTTTTTTTTTAGAGCAAAAGTAAAACAAATAAAAATCTGTAAAAAATTTACATTTTTTCTTATTTCAACATTAAAGTATTGCATTTTTTCTGACTTTTTTTCGGATTTGAGTAGTGTTCTTGCCGCCGTAGCCGAGTGCTTAGATGTGCCTACTGCCACTCGGGCAGCCCATGCATGGTTCATTTCCTGGTCTCAGCAACTTCAAAAAAGGTCGCCCCTCGGCAGCCAATGGCAAACCTCCGAGTGTACTTCTACCGTAAAAAATTTTCTTCGGAGGTGGAGTAAAAGTGTAGGATCTCTCCATTTGTGTCACAACATCAACAAACAGAATACGAATTGGAGGAGAAGCTCGGCCAAACATGTATAAAACCTTTAAGCACCAAACATTCATTTATTATTATCAAATATGAGAGCCTTTTTGTCCTAAAATAACCTAGTATATAATTTGTTCGATAAAAAAAATCCGTTTTATTGATTATTCGAAAAATCAAGATTACAAAAAAGCCGCCTATATGTTTCAAAAAAAAAAACATGGAAAGCGGTTTGGAACCTAATACATACCAACGTAGCCAGGATTTTTGGAAGGGGAGGATTATGAAAGACGCTCCGTACTCACCACGAAGCTCTTCAAGCATCTGATATCTATTCCCGAAAGCTCATCAGATGTGTGAAAGAAATGCGACCCGAGGTGCTTGAACTTTAGGTTCGCAAGAGCAGCAGGTGTTGAGATGATTCCACTCCACCAACCTCCATGCAGCTGGTGCAGTAAGGGTCATCTGTGATATTCAGCCTTACTTCATGCTTACCCATAACGCAATGACCAATTAGAGCTCCCACCAGTAGCGAGATGTACTTAGGTAGCTTATTCTCAAGAGCTCCCAGGACCGCCCCGTTCTACACGTAGTCAGAAGGATTTTACCACCTTGGTTTCCTGGATCTTCGCCCATCGTACGCTGAGGTGACTAAATGCTAATGACTTCCTATAACTGGAATAAATACCTCTAGGGTCCCCTGTCTGGCTAGCTCAGCGACCATGCAGTTACACGCGAATTCGCTATGACCCGGAACACAAATGAGCTTAATAGCGTAGTTATCCGATGCGTTCGATAAGAATGTCAAACAATCCCTCACTTTTTCCTACCGAACGAACAAGGAGCCAATGAAAGCCTTGAAAGTTGCTTGACTGTCGGAATAGGTGTTACACTAGAAATCTACCAATCCGAAGCACCTCTCCCAGTCCTCTCTCGCTGGAATGTGGATAATGAAAGATCCCTTCGGACCCACAAGCGGCATGCAGTGGTCTGTTCGAGTTGGTAGGAAATTAGAATGCTGATAGTATATGGACACAACATTTAACATAGGATTAAGCGCCTGAGTAGGAGTGGTGCGTAGTTCCCAGCTGCTGGACGATGAAGGGAAGCCTAACGAGCCAATTAACTACTTTCGGCGAGAGATGCCAACGCTTGCCAATGGCCCCTCTACAAAAATAAAGGTCTACTATATCCTTCTTGACTCTTTCCTCTACGTTGGGTTTTTAGAAAAGCTTGCCGCCAAGAATCAAACCCAGATACTTCACCGTGTCAGAGGGTCCTTGTGGAAGACCACCCCTTGAGGGAAGACGGCACATTATACCTCCTAGTAAAAAGAACAACCTCCTAGTAAAATTAATAAGCTCCGTTTTTAGGGTTCACACCGCGCCCGCAACTACAATCCCCATAAGTTCAAACAGCGTTTCCATAAACTTTCCCTTTGTAATCCGGGCAGTCGCTTCTCTCCAGAGCCACTAACATGTCGTTAACGACAACGACCCAAAGCAACGGCGGGGTACCTGTACTCACAGATCTTCGAATTGAAGCGCTGCCCCATTCTGCCGCAACGGTTCTGTTGTAAACGATGCGGTAAATATACCTTACAATGTCTGCTCCGACCTTTAGTTTATTTAGGGAGTTTACAATAGCCAGAGGTGACACGTTATTAAAAGTCCCATCTGTATCAAGGAAGGCACCAAGCCCGAATTCCTTCTGCGAAAAGGTCTACTCGATACTTTCAACGGGCCTGACCTTGCATAAAGCTTGCTGATTCAAGGGTAGACGGTCTCTAAGAATACCGTTTCTTTAGTGCAGATCTCTCTAGCGTCTTCAAGAGAAACAGAACGGCCTGAAGTCCCTTGTTGATACGTGCGGGACCATTCACCATCCAAGGCTCCTGGCCATGACCCCTGCAGTTGAGTTGGTATTGTGCCGTCCGAACCCGGCGCCATAAAGGGCTTTAAAGACTCAATAGCCCGAATAAGGCGATCCTCGCACAATATATCTTAGTGATTCGTTCCCGAGCTCATATCCCTTATACAGATGTTTTTTGGATCCGGGTTGCATTGGAAGTGAGGAGTAGCGCCCAGTTAAATCAGATCGTTGCTTAAAACGGAAATATCATGAAATGCGTGAGCTCGACAAGGATAAATATAGAAAACATGCTCTTTAACAGGACATCAAACAAGTTTCGCAACATGGAAGGGCAACATTTTTTGGAAGAAACGAAAACATCGTATGATTAAAACTTTCGTACTTTCAGTCTACCATTTGCTTAAGCTTTACAATATTTTAATAATTTTAAATCACACCGGTTTAAGCATTTCTCTCATTTCTCTCAATACCACGCAAACATGTAAACATTTCAAACGAGCCTTTCACATCTATAATTATCTCAACAAGAATTACCGACATAAAAATTTTCCACTTTCCAAACCCTCGAAAAATTTATAATTATATACATACAGAACACAGCTAAAAGGTGAGAGTGAAAATCTTAACGTCAAAAAGAGAAATCATCAGCAGGTATGAAAAATAAATAAAATTAAAAGGAGTGAAAAAACAGACGGCTGAATAGGCCAGCAAAAAGTCAAACATATTTACAGGCGCGTGCACAAAGCAAAGAAGCTGCGTGCGATAAGTAGACAGCCGTATGAATTAATGAAAATATAAAAATGTTGGAACCTACATACATATATAAATACATACACATTTACATGATTGCAACACGTACAGCAGGAAAAAATTTCATAATCAGAAATTAATTTTCTACCGAAAATAAATACTAAAGTGAAAAAATGTTGCTGGTAAACATATTCAAATTAAAGTTCCTCAAGAGAAAAAGTGTTCATTAAACATTTATTGTTGTTGGCATGAATGTTGAAATACCAAAGTTAAAAAAATGTATAACCATTACTGAGATAATACGTTTTATAATGGCGTTTTCTTTTTTTAGAAAAAAATTTTGCCTTTTCATTGCCCTCTCCTTAGTATTTCTGCGTAGAGGGCACTGAGAAGGCAACAATTTTTGGTAGAAGAGAAAACGCCATAACACCTGCAAGTTTTTTAATATAGGTACTCCATTAACACTCTATAAAAGATAGATAGATTATTCTGGCTGGCACACCACACCCAAATATACTTATCAATAGGTCTCTATTAATGCCAAATGGGGATAGAAGTTTTAGTTAAGTATATTCGAAGTAGACATAATTTCTCAACGCTTTTTTTGAATTCCGGAGGTGCTTAAATGCGAACTGTTTTCATGTCTTCAAGCTTAATAAACTTTGGAGCTCAAAAATATTTCAGTCGTTTTCTAATAGCGCAGTGTAAACGCATAGGATGTGTTCTAGGGTCTAGCATTATTGTGTTTTCATAGTGAACACGGCACTTAATTTTGCAAAATTTTGTATTTTGTAACGATGATTTAAACAAAATGAAAATATACACGCCAAATATATATCCTCCTGTTTATATAACCCAATTATGCTAGGAAACTGAAACTTGACAAGGTATCATAAATTGTAAATACATACCCTACGTACGGCGCAAAGTGGCAGATAAGGGAAAAGGGGGCGTGGCACCGCCTATACAAACTTAAAGTCGCAGATCGCTTATCTCTATAATAGCTTATGCTAAGGTTTTGAAATTTTACACAGCTACATACATATGTTATAATTACCGAACTTATGGCGAAAAGTGATATGTATTCGAAAGGGGGAAAAATATACTGCCGTTAGAGATGGAAATATTATATTTTGTTTTACACCATCGAAGTACTTTCTTAACCTCAACAGATTCTGATGAAAAGAAGGACCAGTTTGTTGGCAATTTAGCTTTTACCCTTTCAAAAGGCTATCAGACCAACATAATCGAAAAACGTTATTTAATGTCTGAATTTTGGTTTATGTTTAACCTAATAGTCAGTGATGAACCATTAGGGATCTCATCGATACATACAAATACATGGACATATTTTTCATAAATGAAAGTTGAGGTTACTTTCTCGGTCTAATTTCGAAAGCTACTGAAAAAATTTGGTTTTAAGATTGCCTGTAAATTCGCTGTAAATTTCGGTGGTCAATAATAGTGACAAGCAAAATTCAAAAGTGGGCCATATATTTATCGCGATACTAGTATTTTTAAATTCTCTCCAGTCACATCAGTGGATGTCGAAAGGTTGTTTTCCGTATATTCAACGCGCTTAAGCGACCAGTGCAGATCTTTATTATTTGAGAATATCGAGCAACACTTTATTGTCCATTGTAATCTTTCAATCCCTGAAATAAACATTAAACACTACTAAAATATGAATATGTGTTTTTCGAGCGTATTTTGAAGCATAATGTTTTAGTGCTTATCTAAGCCCTGTTCATTAGCCACCTTGGACTTATGTGCATACGTATCTACATAGTATAAACATGACCTAGTACGTTAGTTATCTAAATATTTTCTGTGTTAACTGCTTTATGTTCTCTACCTTTTTCATGTTTTTCCCCCTTATTCACAGATGAAGGTAATCACGCACTACAGGAGTTCCTTGCCGCACGTAATCCGAAGCAGCAACATAGCAGCACTCTGGAATCGTACTTAATCAAACCAATACAGCGCATCCTCAAATATCCTTTGCTTTTGCAACAGTTGCGGAATTTAACCGATTCACGCGCCGATGAACACCTACACTTGTGCGGTAAGTACTTGTGCGTTAACATGCGTGAAATGCACGTATTTTTTTTTTCTTTTTATAACCAACCAATGGCCTTCGATAACACTTGAATTTTTCCTCTTAATTAATGATATGATTTTAATAAGTAACATAAATAAATCTTTTACCTTTTGCATATGTAGCCACTTGTGATTTATTTGCCTGTATTTATTTATTTTTTTTTTTTGTTTTTATTCGTTTGCATTGCAGAGGCCCTCAAGGGCATGGAAAAAGTGGCCGAGCATATCAATGAAATGCAACGAATTCACGAGGAATATGGTGCTATATTCGATCATTTGTTCCGACAACATCAGAAGTCATGCAAGCAACCCATTGATTTGAGTCCAGGTGAGGTTACTGGTGTGTGCATTGACGTATTTTCTAATGGATATATTTTTTTTATTTTATTTATTTTATTCAGTCGTAGCATAGGAGCCACTCAGAAAATTATGAAATAGAAAATCTTTTTTATTTATATGTAGAAAGCTGAAGGGCAATCAAAAAAACGTAGATAGCTATTCATCGGCTTTCTACCGCCATATCCTTTACGAAGGCCATTACGCCTGCTTAGGTTCAACGTGTAGGGGCAAATAGAATGGACGCATTCTTAGTCAAAATGGGGCTAAGAATTTTTTTTAAGCAATTTATGTTTTAGAATAGGATAAGCACTTGTCTAAGAAATATTATTTCCCAAATAACTATATATCGATGGCTGAGTGGAAGATCGACCTATCTCGGCAGTCAGCTCGAAAACGCTCTATCTCAAAAAACTTTTCAAGAACGCCCTACTTCAGAATTTAATTGAAAAACACCCTATCTCAAAATTCGGTTCAAAAACGCCCTATCTCACTTCAAAATGTATTGAAAATATGCTGATATAGGGCGTTTTTGAATCGAAAGCTGAGATAGGGCGTTTTTGAAACGAGTTCTGAAATAGGGCGTTCCTGAAAAGTTGTTTGAGATAGAGCGTTTTCGAACTGGCTGCCGAGATAGGTCGATCTTCCACTCAGCCATCGATATATAGATCGTCACCACGGTCGCAACGGCTGGTAACTCCTTTTAATAAAATTGTAGAGTAGAGCGAAAAAAACGTTCTTAAATAATAGTTATTGAGTTAACCAAAAATAATTTGCTTACGCTAAAGTTGTAAGTTATAAATAAAAAAGAAGTTAGAAGAAAATAATTGGAGCTAGAAATTTTCATACTAAGTAGACATCTTTAGTAAACATTTTTATTCAAAAAAAAAAATACAAGCAATTAAGATGAATCATGCATACTAGCAGACGACTTTACTAGCCGTAATAGCTTCAGGTCTATTATATTAAGTTCAGACAGAAATTTAATTGAGCTACAGACAGCTGCTCCATTAGCTACAGTGATGAAAAAGTTGGTACAATCGTACCGTTATTTAGTTTGAAAGTGGTTTAGGTACAAACACACCATTTTAGGTAAATTTGGAACGTAGTCAAATCGCTTTTCATGAAATCAGTTCTAATTTTTATCCAAATTTCAACGCATTTTCTGGTGGGCGCACAAATGATACAAAAGGGTGGTAAAAGTACTTGACTACACCAGTAAGAAAGTGATTCACCTTTTCGAAAACATAATTTTGTCTCAAACTGCTGGAAAAGATTCTTTTTATAGCTAAATTTATTTAATGGGAATCCAGAATTTGATATGGTATCGAAGAGAAAAGTTAACTCTTATTTTTCCTAATATCAGCTGTAAAATTGGACCACGAACGAACAGCTGATTGCTATTTGTTCAATGAACATACCTCAAAGTCAAAATTAAACATACCCTGGAAGGTTGCATGAAAAAAATGCATTCAATTGGCACGCAATTAAGCACTAATCGGGCAATTAAGAATTAAAATTTTGTATGATAAATCGAGCTCAATTAGTGCCTTAAACGAGAAAGCTTCGCTAATTGCTCGATTAGCTGCCTGTCTGAACATACTTGGAGGCGCTTTCACATCATCCTCTGCCTTTGCATCAACGTGCTTATCAGGTGGGGAAATTTTATGAGACCGCTCTGCAAAAAATGTTTGTCAGAATTCGCAATGCTATCACTAAAAACCATTCGGCAACTAAGACATGAATTAGATTCTGTGCTGGTAAATTACATAGATTCGCACAATGATCGCGCAAAGGTTCGTTAGGAGTCAGGCGAAACCGACCGTGTGCTTTCTACCTTTCTCTGGTGCTTTATAATTGGTTCGTTGCTGGTCAAAATTAACGGCTCTAATATCTACGCACAGGTCAATGTAGATTATATTACCTGCCTAATTGCAAGCCCTTCTCTGTCAGCAGGAAAGCATAAATAACACTGAGTATGATTGAGACTTGGTATGGAGGGATTGGCTGTCCGCTAACCCAACCAAAGCTAACGATGTGCTCTTCACTAGAAAGAGAAAGTTGGATGGCTTTGTTACCCCTGCCTTTAAAGCAGTCACTATTCAAATTTCTTCCGAAGTAAAGTATTTTAATCTTAAAGAGCAAGCTTTTATGGAAGTCTCATGTTGAGCAATGGAGCTCCTACGCCTTAACATCGTTCTGGGAATGTATAGATTTACACCTCTATGATAAGATCTGAAAAATGGAGTTAGTAGCCTTTATCCCGGCGGCGACTATATATTTAAGTATTGCAAACAAAAGCTTTTTAATCACACTTAGAACAGAAATAATTTTAATCAGGGCTTCCGCTTGTATATCGTCGCCTGGATAAAATATTTTCGTATGTTACTTTCGGCGGATATGGTGAAATCGCGGTTGAAGTTTGGAATGCAATTTCTCAAAAACGCGTTAATAGATTATCTTCTAGGACTCGGGAAATGTTACTAGCAGGGACCGAAAAAAAAAGCTATGATCGAAACTAAATGTCGTTCTCGTAGTTTTTTTCCAAAGAACGCTTCAAAACCAAAACCAAAATCAGAACAAAGCTGTCGAGTACGGTTTCAATGGGAATTATATAAGAACAAAACTCGGTGGAACGTTCCCAAAGAGAACAAATTGCGAACATTACTTTCGGTAACATTTCTAAGAGAACGAAATTCGAACAAAAGTCTCCGAAACGCTTTGGAAAAAAACTAAACTGGAACAAAAGTCTAAGGAACCTTTGCTCGAATAACAATTTGGGAACTACAGTCTCAGGTACTTTCTGCCAGAGAACGAAACGGAAACAAATCTGAACTATTCGCGAAGAATGAAAGATAATTATGCAAATTAAGTCAACGAAAGACTAAAGAAGCGAACTTTTTTGCACAGAAAATTAACAATTTTTCTGTAAATAGACAGTTCAGACAGAATTAAAAATCGCGGTTCTCATTAAAACGATTTTTTATCGTAATATGCGTACGCCCCTCTTATTCTTAACGTTAGGTTCTCAAAACTTTTGTGCTCGTTATATTCTCTAGCCGAATGTTCCCCAGACTTTTATTCTTCTTTTATCCGCCTTAAAAACGTTCTCGATACTTTCGTTCTCTTTGGAAAGGTTCCCGAAAATTTCGTTATCATTCGAAAAGCGCCCAATACTTTTCTTCTCGAGGAATACATACAGTGACCAAAATAGAAATAAGGACTCGACATTTTAGTAAGTTTTGGCTGTTTTTCCTTACTTTGTTTAATGTTCATTATTTATTTTATGAAAGTAAAGCTCTTTTCCTAACAAAAACCATATAATACCAAATTTCCAACTTTTTGCAAAAAACTATAAAAATTAATTCTGCAATGTTTCACCAAAATTTCAAACTTTTTAATTAGAATCTTTAGAAAAAAATTTGGTTTGCAATTTTGTAACTCATTGAAATTGAGTATAATAAAGTTTGAGTGGAAAGTGCTGCTCATTTGGTTCTCTTTCAAAAATATTGGTCGAACATACTTCCTTTGTATGAAAAAAATGCGTAACACCGTCAACAAAAAAAAAATTGCCAAAAATTAATGGTAAGCCTTAGCGACTTAAAAATGCACTTTATTATACTAAAATTAACGAATTTTTTTAAACAAATTTTACGGGGTAAAAATCTCGAGAAAATTATCATACAAATTTGTGATGTTACTAAGAGGATACTGTTTCAGGGCTAATACATCTAGGAGCACAGCCTTTAAGATCTGTACGCTGTTGTGAAAAAAATTTGCAACATTTTTTTGTCCCGTATTCGGCTCTCATAAATATGGTCACCGTATCTATAACTGATAATAGCAATCAAAAGATCATATTTTAAAATATGTAACTGCATCTATAACTAAAAATCGTCAAAATGGCGCTTACGACAATATTTTATGCAGGCGACGATATATGTAATAAATTAACTCAGGAAGACGTGTATGGGAAATTCCATACTTCCACTCGGAGACGTAGCTGTCCATTCTTATCATGGATCAATTGATTACTCCTTGTAATAACGCCGATAGAAACTCTTACTACAGATCTGTTGAGTAGCAAAAATGCTTCCATCTTGCTTCTGCCGAACCGCGACCATAATGACCTTGATACCTCACCATCATTCCTTTGGATTCCTATATCGTCTTCTCTAAGACTGGCACACCGTTTATGGCCATAACAAGAACGATCATCTTCATCCCCTTCTGGAGAGCGCTACTAACTGCTACCAGCATGTCTTTGTCTATAGCTTTCCGCCATACTAGTTTTCATTGGGTTCAGTTGGTCTGATGACTGTGGCGTTCATATCATAGGTGATATACTCCGACGGTTTTCAAGGTTTTCCAAAAAAAATACATGCGCAGTTGCGCAGTGATTCCCAAAGTGGTACAGGTGGACCCCCAGGGGTCCACGGGAGACTCAACAGGGGTCTACGTTGGATTGCAAAAAATATGAGTTGTAAGTAGGGGTCCACGAAAATTTATCTGGTTGCGATAATAAAGAACCAAAACGGTTGCTTGATAGCCTATTTATTTAGCTTTAATTTTTTTGAGTGCTCTTGACGCACTTGTGAACTTATATTATTTTTATTTTTTCCACTCCTAATTTAGTTTTGGAAAATTACATCGTTAGATTTAATCTTCACATTTTTTGATGAGCTTTGTGAATATGTTAGAAATGAGCATCAGGGGTCCACCGAAACCAGTAAAGTTTTGAAAGGAGTGTACGAGAAAAATATGTTTGGGATCCTCTGCGTTAGTCCCTTCTAACTCTCTTCTCCGCATCTCTTTTCTAATTTAGTTTGGAGTCCATAATCGCTTCGGAAGAGAGACTCAAAGTAATGCTTTAGTCTAGAAATGTTTATTGATAAATAGTGTGGCTTCAATCGAAAAACTTGAATTTTATACGATAGCTTTGTTATTTTCAGCATTTTTTTAAGGTTTTCTGCCAATCATAAATAGCAATTTAAGCAATTAATCGCCCTCTAAACACTTTTTAACCAAAATTATTTCATTCATTTCGCCAATCTAGGTGACCTACTCTATTATGGCGGCGTTGAGTGGCTGAATATTTCTGATTTCCTTGGCAAAATCAAGAAGGGTTTGGAATTGCATGCTATGTGCTTTGTTTTTAAATCAGCGGTTGTGTTCCTTTGCAAAGAACGTTTGCGTCAAAAGAAGAAACTTATGGTAAGATAGTGAAAAATTGATACATAAATTAAGTTCCGTTGAAACTACTAAAGCACTTTCTTATCTACCTAGGGTGTCTCGAGTAAAAACGCCCCCAATGAAGTCGAAATCATACGCTACCAAGTGCTCATACCAGTCACCGAGGTGCAAGTGCGCGCCTCTTCAGCAAAAGACATGGACTCGCATTTCTTATGGGAATTGATACACTTACGCTCGCAACTGCAGCGCCGTTCCGAAAAGGTTTACGTGCTCTCGAACAGCACGGCAGACTTCCGTAACGCATTCCTCAAAACCATACGTCAGATCATACGCGAAAGTGTACGCAACATGTCAATTCCGATGAAAGGATTTGGTAGTTCCGGTTCAGTTTCGGGCATCTCATCGCAAGGTGGCGGTTCGGGTAGTTCCCAAACGCTGGAACGGCCAAAACAACAGGTCTCGACGCACATAATTTGGCATTAATGCTTGCATAAAATTATACTCTGTCTAAGTTTGAGTTGTACGAAATTTATGTTTTACCTTGCAGATAACAATCATTCAAGGCTCCCAGACATTAGGTAAACCCAAAAAGAAATCCGGTTCGCAACGTCATTCTGCTGGCAACATCGACTATGATAATCTCTCGGGTAGCCAAGAGGCAGACGATGTGCCAATGTTGCATCATCAGCATCAGCCACAGCTACAACCAACTGGTTTCCGAGGACGCAGTAAGACCGTGGGCGATGCTATAGGTACATTTACATAATTAAGTACATACCAATATTTAGGCGCATAAGTTAGCGTCACCAACCTACTCTGAAATTAGATAAATATTTCTCAAGAATCGGCAATAAAATGAATTTATAAAAAGTTTTTTTTTAACTGCATTTCGCTCTTTTTCCGTTGTCTGCCTTAAAAGTTGAAGTATTCGCTAAGTAAAATTTACAACC